CCGACAACCGTACGTGATGACTGAACGTCGAGAGAAGAGGGTCGCAGCCCTTGGTCACCGAACGGATGAGGCTCAAACGGATGGGGAGGCGTATATATATGTAATGGTGGAGCCCCGCCAGCTTCCATGCTGGAGCGTCTGCGTCGAGCTTCTGCGGGTTGGGATAGAAGAAATTTTTTTGATTTTTGTATTAGCCATATTTATATATCAACCTCGAGCCACCAAACTACTATCATACGACGAATTTAAAAGACATGAAGAAATACATAAATCAGTTGCTAACATTTATTACCGTCACACAAGTATTAAATATTCCAATATAACAACGAAGAGACTGAAAAGTCGAATCCAAGCCATATTAATTAAATACTTAGGAGGTGGTTGGGAGAAACAAGGATGGATCATCTTCGGAATGAGGACATAAGGAAAGAGCTAGAGGTGGTCCTAGTAACGAAAATTATCGAACAAACTCAGTTACGTTGGCGCATGTTATTACCTAGGCGAGGAAGAGGAAGACCAGGATTGACGTAAGAACTGGAAAAACAGGGGTATCAGCACAAGAAGTAAGAAGAATGACAGAAGACAGAAAACAGTGGCAAAAGTTTGTTAACGGAACAATATATATTCTTTTAAGCATCATGATTTCATCTGTCTGGCTAAAGACACCCAACCATGGACATGGTCTAGGCTTGATTTCTTATATCCGGAAAAACCAAGGAAAGCACCATCTCTGTGATAGATGGCGTTTTGAGCTGTGCTATGTCGATATATCCTTTTGTTTGTATAACTTTTGCAATGTATACTTTTAAAACCCGAAATATTGGATATCCTTCTATTATTTGTACTAATATTTTATATATATATATATATCCTTTAATTTCTTTGGGTAGAAGACAAAGTATTGCAAAAGTACACTCTTATAACTTAAACTCTCAAGCTTTCGAAGATCTATGTCTTCATCGTCTGGAGCTGGAAACAATTATTGACAATAGCATCAAATAACAATTAGGAGAAAAATATGTACTTACTAAGTCGGCGAGATTGTCGCTGAAATTGTTTATGAACAACAGTGAAGGGAACACATAGTCGACGAATAAAAAACTGGACTGATGAGGTTCGATTAGAACGGAATCATTTTATTCGTCGACTATGTGTTCGCTTCACTGTTGTTTAAAAACAATTTCTGCAACAATCTCGCCGCCTTAGTAAGTGAATAATTTTCTCCTAATTGTTATTTGTTGCTATTGTCAATAATTGTTTCCAGCTTCAGACGATGAAGACACAGATCTTCGAAAGCTTGAGAGTTTAAGTTATAAGAGTGTACTTTTGCCTTCTACCCAAAGAAATTAAAGTATATCTTCTCCTAACAGTTAAGGTAATTAAATACTATATATATATATACAGGGTGACTTTGAAGTTGAGTCATTAATTTTCAGATAATGATTGTAGAAGGAAGATGAACCAAAATATGTGTGTAAAAATAAAAAAAACATTAAAAAAAAATTTTACCTTGTTTTATAAAGTATCCTTCCGACAAGTATTTCAGTGCGGACCTGTATTTGATCGTGAGGTCTTGGAGCACCGGCATGCCGTCCATATGTGAGGTCATAAGTCAAATGATTCACGAACCCGTTGTACTACATTAACAAAGGCACGAGGGGTTGGTTGCACTCGATTGGGAAACCGATCCGCATAAACATGTGCCATTTTTTATTTCGTTTGAGCCACACAACAGACACCACTATCCACTACCGACTGACACTGACTGTATACAACTGAATGAAATAATTGTAAAAACATCGTTCCAAATTCTTTCGCTTTTTTGTTTCCGATGCGATGAACCGATAAGGCGAATTATATCCGTTGTCGCCAAAGACGAGCACATAATATTATTATTGAGACAGGGCGGTACTCAAACTTCCAAAGGGCTATAACTTTGTTACTTTAATTTTACCAGAAAAATGGTAAAGGAAAAAAACATTTCTTTTGATCAGATCTACTCACTGTTAAAATAAATGACTCAGCTTCGAAGTCACCCTGTATATATAGGTGAAAATTAAAGCTTCCGCCCTTTGCTGGGTACTTCGACAAAATTTAAGCAAGGAGGACTCTTTATACTTTTTTAATCTCTCTAGCTTTCAAAGGTCTTTGTAATCATCATCAGGAGCTGCAATTACATTGATAAAACTAGCAACAATTGTGTAAAACGAATTTAAATTAACTTACAGTAGTATGTGAGGATGTTGCTAAATGTTATTTACGTTAAGGATGAGGGAAACATCCAGTAACATGGTGAAAGCTGGATACATGGTACAATGGTCAAAATTATACAGACTACACACAGCTGTATGACAACAAATTAAAAACAGATTAAAAATATTTAAAACGAAAGTTAAGCATTACATCGTGAAGCCACTTGATGATTGCACACTACTACTGTAAGTTAATTTAAATTCATTTTACACAATTGTTGCTACTTTTATCAATGTAATTGCAGCTCCTGATGATGATGGCAAAGACCATTGAAAGCTAGAGAGATTAAAAAAGTATAAAGAGTCCTCCTTGCTTAAATTTTGTCGAAGTACCCAACAAAAGGCGGAAGCTTTGATTTTCACCTAACTGGTCTAGACGACAATGACCACGTCTCAAGTCAAAATATAAATATACATATATACATTTTATTTTTATACACCTACATTTTCAACTCACTTGTAACTAATTAACTATTTTTATGTTTTTGTAATATGTTTCAGTCTTTTTGGAGTTAAGTGGCAGACTAGCATTATGCTAAACTTCGCCCCTAAATAAAGACGATTTATTATTATTACTATTATTATATTCCACACATCATAGATTTCCCCTTCAAAACTTGAATGATAGAGAAATATTTTTGATCCGCGTACCCCTGCAAGCTAAGCTCATCGCCCGGCGTACCAGTCCCGGTTCTAATCTATCCATACTGCAACGCAACGAACATATTACACGGATCATGTATGAGATAGTAGTATCTCTTCTACTACGGGACTAGTAGTAGCAGTAATAGTAGTGATGGGGATTCGAAGCCTGGCAACAAGGCCGTCTTTGACTCCTTTTGGCGACCCTGTAGTACCAACACAGGTCATTATTGAATAAGGTAGCAGTACGATGTACCTGTGTTAATCTTGCACAGATCTGGTGCGTTACTGTGTGACTGAAAGAGCTTTTCGATCCGATATTTGAACTGCCTAAGGTTAGTAAAACTGGGACATCATCAGGTGGATGGTTTCACGTTCTTGATGCTCTAGGAGCTGAGAGTTTTCCACGCATAGAGCTCGATCGTCCTAATGAGACTCCTATAGGGCTTGGGGCAGTGTCAAATGACTTACGGCAAAGATTAACATATTTAAACTTGCAGAATGAGTTAACTGATAAAGAGACCCAGACCATTAAAAACGGCTCAATACTGTTGATGAGGTATCACCGATCATCTAGATAGTTGGATAGTATACTCCAGACAGAAGATTCCCAGATATGTGAGCAGTACCCCATGCCGCATCTATTCTGCTCAGTGACGGTGATGTAACAACCTTCCACTGTCTGGTGGAATCAAACCAAATATAAAATTTAATTTCTTTTTATTGCTCAATAATTGATTCTGAAAGACAGTGGAATCTAAAGCTGCATTAAGAATATTCTGGTTTCAAATAGATAATTCAAGTGTTTTCAACAGTTGCTGCAACTGAGGTGACGTGTTTATGTTAAAACACGTTCTCAACTTCGACAAGCCGAAATCAGAGGTTTCCTAACAAAGTTCCATGCTGGTTTTATCTCTTAGCTTTCAGGCTACTTTTGGGCGTTTTTTTATGGCTCAGGATAGTTTGTAGGTGTCTTTCAAATGAGGTTCCAAGGAAAGTCTTCTCTTTAGTCATACCGCATTTCGACAATTTAGCGTGAAAGCATGTTCGAATATTAAGTCTGAGAAAATAATCTAGCAAATTTGCAGAAAACGCAAGGCCTCTGCTCGTTGATGAGAAAGGAGCTGAAGTGCGAATATGAGTTGGGAGAAAGAAATCAGTTTGGACTTTGGTGGAGACATGGTCTCGATATAAAGTCTTGGTCTTGGTCATGGTGGTAATGAAGTATCAAATCACTGAAAACGCGATACTTTATTTCCGTCAGAACAGCGGTAAGTAATGGAAGCTTATTTGCCCATGTTTCCATATAGAAATCTATCCTTGTATTCGTTGCGATCTTACTTTACATTGTAGTAACAGAATGTATCCCATTCTTAGATGTGCGAACTTCGACATAAAAATACACATTAAGATAACAGAAAAATCACAATAGTCTGTACAACTTTTGTTAAATATATCTTTCCTTTCCATTTGTTCGATTGAAGACGCTTCCTCAATGCCCTTCGATCAAATTAATATGCAATATTATGAAAATTCAAGGAATGAGGATTACAATCGATTTTTCCAAATGTTTTGTGATTTCGGAATCATAAAATATAAAACTGAAAGTTATGTACGCGGTATATTTAGCTAGTTCCTTTTCTATAAACAATAAGAGTTAAAATTACGTAACAGATATCCATTTGATTTTGAACAAGGACAGTGATAGTGATACACGAAGTACATAATGTTATAGAGCGAGTTTTTGAAAACATCAAAACTTGAATAATTGACGCTATCAATACACACCGTTTTTTAGAAATTTTAACTATTTGAAACATGGCAAACCATTCTATGACTGAATGTTTGAATTTTTAGTTCATGAAAGGTACTTTATTAACGACGTTTTTCGAGATATTTAATGTACAAAATATGTTGTCTACTTATTTGTTTAAATCAGTATTTACTGACTGAAGTACACTTGTGGTATATTTTTGCGTCGAAGTTTGATCACACCCACAAGAAAGGAACACATAGTGCAACTACACTTGACACTTCCAAAACACTTTTTTTCACTTCGTCCACGTCCGGAAGCGTAATCCAGGAGGCAGTAGTACCAGTACTCACCTCAATGTAAGACTTCTTCGAGAACATCTCGCTCTCCTTTTGAGCCGTAGCAACCGCGGCCATTTCTTCTATCGGTTGTATTTTGTCGGAACGGAAGGAAGTACGATTGTCACTTGTCAGCCTGAAAATCGCAGACTAGCAAATTTTCACTGCCGACTTAGAGCGGTTTAGCGACGGAGGGTCACAGGACCAACAACGGATCGTGTGTAACTTGAGTGTGGTCCATGCGATGGGGCATGGGTATTTGTAGCTGGTGGACCCCACTACCCCCCACAATGGGGCGCCCGATGCTGGGGACAGCGTCGAGTCGCTGGGTTTGGGCGGTCGGCGTCGTGTCGATAGGAGCGTCGCCGTCGTGTTCACGTCCGTATCAGGGTGTAGGAGGACATCCGCGCTCGCCATTCGCAGTGGCGGCGCATTCACGCGCTCAGCAGGGGTCACGAATCACGAATCTGCTATTAGAATTACTATTTGTTCAAAAATCGTATTGTTTACTATCGATTTTTAGATTTGGTAACGATAGAGCGCTTGAACACAATTCAAAACTGTTGCTGCAGATTAGTAGGCAACTTGAAAAAGTGCGACCATAATTCGACATCTTTTCAAAAACTAGGTTGGCTGATTGTTGCAAAGTTATACAGGGTGTCCCGCAAAAAGTGTGCAGTATTCTACCAGCGGTTTCTAGAGCTTGAAATAGGAAGAAAAGTTTATATAAACATAGGTCGACAAACGTCCCCTAAGGGCGCTACGGGCTGTTAAAGGGGCTCCTCTGCAGATGGTTTTTCCTTAATATTTCCGAAACGTGTTGAGATAAAGACATAAAATTTGGTATTCTAGCCTAGTTTTTTATGCTGGATTTAAAAATATTAACAGTTTTAGACACTTTTGTTTGGAAGCGTATGTAACAGGGACGGACTCAGGTTATTTTAGCCCCAAAATTTTTGTGTGATTCTATTTTTGAAATTCAATTTTAGAATTTGAAAATTTAGGGTTTTCTACATAAAAAAGGTACTCTTATTGAATTGTGTCATTTTTGACTAAAATCAAACTAAAAAATTTGTCACATGATAGGAAATGTACTGCGAATTTAAATAAATTGTTGAATAATTAGCCATGGCAACGAAAAAACTAATTTAATAATTGGTAAATATTACATAAATACATATTTCTTACATTTAGGCAAAAACAAAAGAAATAAATTTTTTCTACGAACGAAATTGAAATTTGTTTAAAAAAGAAGACATACAGTTGGACATACTTAAGACTAGTTTTACAATAAGTGTTCAAATAAATTCCCATTTTGTTGGATACAGAGTGTCGCTCGACGAACTAATGATTGCGTAGCCCAAAAAGTGGAAAATCTTTTTCTTCTTAGTTCATTTGCAGCCTGATGGATTCTTTGAAGTAAATCTTCTTGAGTATTTACTTCAGTCGAGTAAACTAGGTCTTTTAATGACCCCAAAAATAGAAATCCAATGGATTTAGGTCAGGTGAACGTGGCGGCCACGTTATAGGACCTCCTCGGCCTAACCACCTGTCTGGAAAATTGACATTCAACCAATTTCGAACATTGCGTCCAAAATGTGCAGGGGCGCCATCATGTACATTTCCTATCATGTGACAAATTTTTTTGTTTGATTTTATTCAAAAATGACACAATTTATCGATATTCAATAAGAGTACCTTTTTTATGTAGAAAACCCTAAATTTTCAAATTCTAAAGTTGAATTTCAAAAATAGAATCACACAAAAATTTTGGGGCTAAAATAACCTGAGTCCGTCCCTGTTACATACGCTTCCAAACAAAACTGTCTAAAATTGTTAATATTTTTAAATCCACCATAAAAAACTAGGCTAGAATACCAAATTTTATGTCCTTATCTCAACACGTTTCGGAAATATTAAGGAAAAACCATCTTTAGGGGAGCCCCTTTAAAAGACCGTAGCGCCCTTAGGGGGCGTTTGTCGACCTATGTTTATATAAACGTTTCTTCCTATTTTAAGCTCTAGAAACCGCTGGTAGAATATTGCACACTTTTTTCGGGACACCCTGTATAAATATCATTCAAATCACCTATCGTTACCACCATTTTTAAACAATCAAAATTTTGATAAAGTCATAAGACATATCAAGAATCTGCTTTTACGGTGCCGAAACTAAAAATACTTATCTTTCTCTTCTGCTAATCAAAAAAAATTATAAAATAGTATCTATTCATATCTGAGTAATTACATTAAATTTATTTATTTATACATTTTATTCATGTTTGTATTTATTTTCGCATGGGCTAAGTCGAAGAACAGCTTCGGACAAATAAAAACACGTTTATTATTCTTTCTTTGACTTTACAGATACTGTGGAATTCTTGACTGACAGGAAAATTATTCTACAGGTATCGAGGATTGCTGCCTTCTGACATTCCCTTAAATAGTTAAGGCCGAGCTTCAAGACTGATGTTTGCTCCGATTTGTAAAGTTGTTGGACTTCGCGTGAAAGCTGCTCATACTTGTTTGTTTCATCGGTGGAAGTTTCCGTCAACTGCAATAACTATGATATAAGCGATCTTCTTCCTCTTGTCGATTACTAGTATGTCGGGACGTTCATGAGTTATCGATATGCTGGGCAATATGCCTGTATCTCAATAAATGATGACACTTGATGATGCATTTCTGAATGAAGGGAGTATTTGTATGCAGATTTGAGATGTTCCAGATGTTTATTATTATTATTATTATTATTATTATTTCTGTTGAATGCTCAGCTTTATACTACTGGGTATGAAGAGTGCAGGTTGTTTGACCAATTCGCTGTATTCGTCTGCATTTAAGAATTTCCTGACTATACTATTATTATTAGGTATTGCCGCCTTTTGAAGTTTTACATAAATATTCTTATCCAGACCGATTAGACGTAGATTTTTCCTCAGATTCTGGGGTACTGAACCTTTGTTAGAGATGATTATAGGGACTATCATTACGCTTTAAAGTCATTTAAAACTACATACCGTGTTGTTTTATTTCCATATGCAAAACTTAAAAGACATCCCTCTTAGAGCGATCGTAGTACAGCTTGAAATTTTCATTTTCCATCACAGATTCTGGTGTGTATTTGTAGTAGAGTGTGTTATCTTTATGAAGAAATCCATTTCGAATAGCTATATTATGGCGTTGAAAGTTTGACCAACCATGCAAATATACAGGGTGTTTCAGTCTATTGTTGCATAACTTTAAGATTCAATAGATCTCTTAAAATGAATGCATAAAGTCTATATAAACATGGGTCGAAAAATGCGTGGCTTCCGAAATACAGTGTGTTTAAATTTACTTTCTAAAATAGTTTTTTTTAAATATTTCTAACAATATTTGATGTATAACAGTGAAAATTGGTATACAAGGGTTTTTTGGTACGACAAAACGAGCCATGGGCATAGTTTTACTTTAGCCGCTAGAGGGCGCTCTCTACTGTACCTGTAGTGTATTAAAATTTTTTCTTAGTACAATTTTTTGATTTTTGAATAAAAAACTGATTCTTCACACTTTTCAACATAAAAAAGCTCTCCTGTGAATTTTCGTTATAGTTAACCGTTTTTGAGATATTTCGATTTTTAAGGTTCAATGCATTTTTAATTATTTATGATAAAATAACGTTAAAAAGTCAGTATTTCGATAATTTTTAGAATTAGGCTGTGCCTGCAAATATTTTTGAAATTGAAAGCAGAATAAGGTTAAACGTCAATTAGTTGACAGTTAGTTTTGTTGTCTGTTGAAACCTGAAACGTTTTTTTGAAATTGTGAATGCACGAAATTTAGTTTCTTTTACCTGTTTTTTTTTTGTAAGTTTTATTAAAATGCCATTTTTATTCTTCAATCAAGAGTTAGCGGATATTCATTTTGTGTATGGCTTTGTAAATGGAAACGCAGCAGAAGCAGCCAGAGAATACGCACGAAGATTTCCATACAGACGACATCCAACTCGCTCAGTATTTGTAAGAGTGCATCGTCAAATAATTGAAAATGGTTTTGGAAATCTCCAAAGAGATCAAAACATAAATGTTCGTCAGCGCAGATTTACCCGTATGATTCTGCGTGAGTTTGATAGAGATCCGACTACAAGTGTTAGGAGAGTTTCTGGTGCCTTGGGAATTTCAGCAAGCCATGTTCACCGTGTTCTTAGAAATGAACATAGACGTCCTTACCATTTGCAACCTGTGCAAGGACTACAGCCAGGGTACGGAGAACGAAGAATCACATTTTGTCAGTGGATTCTTGATAGAACTGATAATAATAGGGAGTTTTTAAGTAACGTTTTATGGACCGATGAGTCATGCTTCACTTGACGTGGAGGGGGAAATTTTCATAATCAACATATTTGGTCGCATGAAAATCCGCATGCAGTTCGGAAAAGAAATTTTCAGCATGAATTTAGTGTGAACATGTGGATTGGTATCTACCGTAAACGACTGTTTGAACTCTACCTTTTGCCTGCAAGGTTAAATGCTGCGACCATCTTGGAATTTTTAAAGGCTGAACATGCAAATATGTGGGATGATGTTATGTTAGATTTAAAAATATTGGCCTGGTTCCAGCTTGATGGTTGTCCAGCTCATTATTAGTTAGAAACTGGCTGGACGAAAATTATCCAGAAAGATGGATCGGCCGTGGAGCACCAGTCGCCTGGCCTCCACGATCCCCTGACCTACATCCATTAGATTTCTTTGTGTGGGGATTTCTAAAAGAAAAAGTGTACCAGACTCCCGTAACCACAAGAGATATGCTAATAGACATAATCAGGAATGCATGTGATGAAATAAGGCCTTATTTGAATAATGCTATACCACGTTCGATCATTCGTAGATGTGAATTGTGTATTGAACAATTGGGTTTACATTTCGAGCAACTACTTTAGATTTTGTATGTTTGTCCTAACTATCCAATAGCTTTTTAGTCGTAAATAATTAATTTAATTTGTTAAAAATAATATTGGAAAATTAAACAAATTAATATTCTGTTTTTTTGTGTTTATTTGGAGTTAGGAATTATTGCTGTGTTTAAAAACACTTGTAATGCCCAAATCGAAAATGTAAAAAAAATATTATTTTCCCATAAATAATTAAAAATGCATCGAACCTTAAAAATCGAAATATCTCAAAAACGGCTGACTATAACGAAAACTCACAGGAGAGCTTTTTTATGTTGAAAAGTGCGAAGAATCAGTTATTTTGTTCAAAAAGCAAAAAATTGCACTAAGAAAAAATTTTCGGTCATTTTAATACACTACAGGTACAGTAGAGAGCGCCCTCTAGCGGCTACAGTAAAACTATGCCCGTGGTTCGTTTTGTCGTACCAAGAAACCCTTGTATACCAATTTTCACTGTTATACATCAAATATTTAAAAAAACTAT